ATGTTATAGAGTATTTCAATTTCAATAAGTAAATACTAGTTACAGTTGCAACAATTATGACTGCTGAAGTTAAAAATTCAGATTGATGACTTTACAGAGAGACTGTTCTTGTGAATTTTCTCCAAAGGGTTCAAGAGAAGAACTTCATTTAATTTGGGTTAGGGTTAAGCCCGCAGGTTAACAGATTTTATGCATTTATAACCACCGATTTATATATCTACAGTTACAACTATATGAAACAAAAAGCCATATTTTGAGCTCACCAACAAGTGCCTGGTGGTCAAGCCTTGACTTTTGGGATTTGGCCGGGCCAAATGACAGAAAGCCACTTCCACCTACAGACAATGAGATCAACATCTGGATTATTTAATGTTTTAAGATTACCAAAAACTCTTCATGGTCCAGCAGTTAGAAGAGAGCCATCATGCCTAAGACAGCCTCACAGAGTCTCTAGCAGGGCCGCAGACAAGTCGTGTGATGTAACAGAGCAACTGGAGGATATGACCGAACACGAGTCCACATCTGACCACAAGGCAGGAGTTCAGCTCATAAAAAAGTCCATGACCCCAGCCGCGTGGCTCAGGGAACGACCCAAACACCTGACTACCTGGTAAATGACCTCATTAGTTTGCCGTCAGCAGCGTGCGGCGAGACGGTGCAGCTTCTTCCGTCGAGCAATTACGGCGTGGGCTTTGAGGTTTCCTCCTTCGTTCTCTCGTTAGGGACCATTTATGATTCGTGCCGCCTCCCAAATAATCCGCAAAAGTTTGCCGCCTGGACGTGTTTGTTATCTGAAGGGGTAAAGGAGTAAATGTTAGTTTCATTAGCGGTGGGCCAGCATTAGTGTTGTTATTCTTGTGCTGCGAAACCTCCAAGGCAGAGGAGTGTCTTGCGAGCGGTTTTGTTTCTGGTTTCCAAGTACAAAAGGCAAAGCTGTCCCTGGAAAGGAAAAGCGAGGCCCAGCGGTGGGCCCAGGGAAGAGGGACTGTGGGATATGACAATTACCAGTTATGTCACCACATACATTCCTGGGTTACGAGTTCTCGCCAGCTGTGGCCAGCGAAGCACTGCTTCTGCTCCTCCTCTTCCTCCTTCCCTTCAGCACAAACTTATGATGCAGTGAAGCTGCAGAGTTTTAACGGGTAGGAAAAAAATAACAAACAGGTGAAAAATGGACTCAAATCAGAGCAATGCAGATGTTAAAAGGGACRTATCATGCAAAATCCATTTTTTAGCTGTTAAATGCATGTTAAATGTTTGTTGTATTAGTTGGAGTCTGTAGGAGTGCAGAAAAGTTGAATTGCGTACACATCTGTATATTCTGTTTGTGTCATATTTTTCAACACGTTCAGTTTTCTCTATTTTAAGATGTTTTCTGAACTGTTACATCACRATATTTGTGACAGTCTGGACTTGCCTAATACAATTTTGTCGTCTTCATTCTCCTCTCGCTGGATGGACAAGTCTTCTGTTGTTGAAATCTTTTTTTTTAAATTATAAATAAAACATTTCTGCAATGCTATATAGTCATAAACCCCTCTATCAAGCTAGAATGGACCGYTCTTGTTTACATTTAAAGAGAYKGCGTCAAAACGAGTTGCTCTAAGACACGCTTGAGAAAAGGGATAAAAGAGGGGTTTGTGGAGTTACAATAAGGAGGAAATCAGACCAAAGCATTGCAGTTCCACTTCATATAGACACCAACTGAATGATTTAAATGTGGAAAAGAAGGATTTAAAGGCAGGATATTTGTTCTGTAACAAAGCATATATGGGATAAATCTTGTGCCAGCAGGAATTGAATTTGAATTGTTCAGATTGAATCTGAATGTGCATCATTTGAAATTGAACGCATTGGTTTGAAAATAAATTTCACTAAATTGAAACTGAATTAAAATTTCTGAATTTGAATTAATTTGCTTTGAAACTGTATTTTGGTTTATTAAAAATTCAGTTTGACTACTTTCAATTTCAATTCCATATTTCAGATTTTTGTGTCACATCCTGGTCCTTGAGAAAGCCAGGCAGAGTAATCAAACACAGATCCACAGATTTATGTTTCACTTTGGTGAAGTTTCCCCTCTGGATGTAACAGAGTTGATGCAATCCACCATAAAAGTGACAAAAACAGACAAAGTTATTTTATTGCAGTGATTAATTTTACCTATAGAAAATATTACATTTACATCCCGTCATGGATCAGTCAGCAGCAGCATCTGATCAATATGTGATCCATGATGTGATGTAAATGTAACATTTTCTACATATAAGTAAAATTAATCACTGCAACAAAATAACTTTGTTTTTGTCACTTTTACTGTAGATTGCATCAACTCTGTTACATACAGAAGGGAAACTTCAAAGTGAAACATAAATCTGTGGATCTGTGTTTGATTACTCTGCCTGGCTTTCTCAAGGACCAGGATGTGACACAAAAATCTGAAATATGGAACTGAAACTGAATTATGGAACTGAAAGTGAAAGTATCTGAAATTTTAATAGACCAAAATACAGTTTCAAAGCAAATTAATTCAGATACAAAACCTTAAATTCAGTTTCAAACCATTRAATTCAGTTTCAATTTAGTAAAATTCATTTTCAAACCAATGCATTCAATTTCAAATCATGCACATACAGATTCAATCTGAGCAATTCAAATTMAATTCCTGCTGGCACAAGATTTATCCCATAGACACGTTTTAGCTAACGTGATTGATGGAATATTTTACGTGTTTAGTGCATATCTTTATTTTTCAATTATGCCTTTTAATCTGAATGCATCCTTTCCCCTCCCCCCTCCATCAGCCGACTTTAGAGATCAACCACCATGCAGGGAAGTCTTTAGACAGCTTCTGTAARTGGCAGAAAACCATCCAGCACCGCAGCAGCTACGGCAACGCCATACCAGACAATGGCATCGCTCACCATGACACCGCTGTGCTAATAACTAGGTAAAGCAATTTATTTTTTAAAAAGTTGTTTTTTTTATTGTCTATCATAAAGAAAATGTTAAACTGAAACAAAACTTTCTGCAGTTTCTTCTCAAAAAAAAAAAAGTTTTCCTGCACAGAAAAGTCTAAAACATTTCCTCCGAGCTGATTTCGTACATTCTCAGCCCCTCTTGTCATAGACTGTCTCTGAGCCAAGTTCAGCAGAGCTGGGGCTGTATCTTGTCCTGTTTTTAGGTGGTAATAGATGAGGACTTTATGCACGTTTCAGAACCTGGAGGGGAGCACGCAGAAGAAAGACGAGAGGGTGCGAGAGACAGTGACAGATTTATTCTCTTGAAGTGAGCAGCCAAGTTAAAAAAAAAAGAAAGGAAGAAAAAGATCTCTGGATTTTACGGAAATGAACACTTTGAAGAAAGCTGACTTGGATCTGACTGCAGTGTCAGTTTTTCCTTTAACTACACTGCCTCAGTTACAAATGCTTTTTAGGGGGAAACAGAAAACAACACCACAGTGGTTGGGTCAGAGTCATCTKAATGCAGTGAAGCTGAGCAGAACGGCCACAATTATTCTCCTATGCTTTCTGAGAGACTTTCTGCCACAAGCTGCAGAACATGCAAACATTAACTTTTTTTTTCTTGCAACAGTATTTATCAAGAGAAAAAGATGGAAACTATCCAGACAGTTGATTCCTCTGGGATTCTTTATGGTTTCCTCCTATTGTTCATTCAAAGCTGTATCTGTCTGCAGTTAGTGCCCACTGTTTGTCCATAACCTTTTTTTTTCCTCTCTTCTTCTCATAGGTACGACATCTGCATTCAAAAAAACAAGCCCTGTGAAACTTTAGGTAATATTTATAATTTTTCACTTATTATTAGCCACTCTGATGAGGCACAAACTTAACCCGTGTGCTGTTTTTTTCCCCATTCTGCATGCGGATAAACACGCTCTTTATATTTACTTTGTGTGTTTGCCTTTTTGTCAGGTCTGGCACCAGTCGGAGGGATGTGTGAACCAGAGCGGAGCTGCAGCATCAATGAGGACATCGGCCTGGGAACAGCCTTCACCATCGCCCATGAGATCGGACACACGTAAGCAACAAACGACCTTGCGACCAGCAAAACAGCTACGAAGATGTTCGTAGGAGGAGTAGGAGGAGTTTGTCAAAGATATGATTGGTTTGTTTGAACTTTGTGGGAGGAGTTTGTCAAAGACGTGATTGGTCTGTTTGACATTTGTGGGAGGAGCTTGTCAAAGACGTGATTGGTTTGTTTGAACTTTATGGGAGGAGTTTGTCAAAGATGTGATTGGTCTGTTTGAACTTTGTGGGAGGAGTTTGTCAAAGATGTGATTGGTCTGTTTGAAATTTGTGGGAGGAGTTTGTCTAATATGTGATTGGTCTGTTTGAAGTTTGTAGGAGGAGTTTTTCAAAGATGTGACTGGTCTGAACTTTGTGGGAGGAGTTTGTTAAAGTCGTGATTGGTCAGATTTATTATTTAGGTGGAGTTTAAAGAAACCATGGTATTACCATTCACTAATCTTATAACTCACCCGACATGTCAATCCAACCAATCACGGTTTTGCCAAACTCTGCCCCCTCAACCAAGAAATTCCCCCCACGTACTGCAGAGACCTGTACTTGGCTTGATTTGCACTGAAACGTGACAAAAGGTGAATTTGGTTCCCTCAAAACATTAAAAAAACCATTGCCACTCTCTTGGACGACATCAAAATCTAAGCAGTTTAAAATGACTAAAGATTGTTTTTTTTATAATGGCTGCAAAGCCATGTTTACCTGACTTTTGCTGGTGATTATTTTTGAATTTTGACATGGAATGGGCATAAATAACCTTCAGCTGACTACTTCTTTGGTTTATATTATTAATGTAGCTGTCATGTCTATTTGAAAACGTAATCAAAATAAGCTAAATCATTCTTTCATTCATAGTTTAATCCTGCTTGCTCAGTACTCCAGTGTCCCTTTCACTTGTGTTTGCAAACCGCATTAACAAGTACTTATGGTGGCAGGTGGTGGATCCATCAGCTTTTCTAATGTTTTAAACAGATGGCCGAAACACTCAGACTCTACTGTTTATAGTAACAGAAACCAGGTAGTGTTCATTAATATAATAAATATATGCATATACATTTGGTTTCTGTTGCTCCAATCAGCAGTTTTTAATTATGAAATAATTTGTTCTGACATTACAGTGCAGTGTTGGAAATGTGTGCTCCATATTTTTAGATCAGTCTCTGGTTTGATGTCCACTACAGGACAATCAGAACATTAGGTTCTCTGTTGTCCTCAAATGGTTCTAATAAAATGTCTGGTTTTAGTTTTTTTTATCCAAGTTACTGTAGGTGAACATTTCTAACAGCTGTGAGTTGTAATATTCCAGGCGCCTGTTGTTTCGATCCCCCTCAGTTATCCGCAGTGACCTTTTTTTCCACTGTCCCCATCGCTGCTGGGATTATTACCCACCCACATGGCCTGAAAGTGTTGTCACTGTGTCATCCTGGGCTTTAGGTTTGGGATGAACCATGACGGCATGGGGAACGCTTGTGGATCCCGCAGCCAGGAGACCGCCAAGCTGATGGCTGATCACATCACCATGAAGACAAACCCATTCATTTGGTCCGCCTGCAGCCGGGATTACATCACCAGTTTCCTGGAGTGAGTCAAGACACTCAGATAACTGCAATGCCACAAATAAATTTCTAATTGCAGGTTTTAGATGTTTCCATGTTTAATCAGCGTTAATCTGTTCAGTATGTTTCCTCGTCTGTTTGTTGTGTTGTAGCTCAGGTATGGGTTCCTGTTTGAACAACGTGCCACCGAAGCAGGAGTTTGTGTATCCCACGACAGCCCCGGGCCAGACCTACGATGCTGACGAACAGTGTCATTTCCAATACGGCATCAGATCTCGGCAGTGTAAATACGCGGTGAGCTCTAACTTTTCAKATCATCAGTAAATACAATATTCAGCAAAATCCATTAATATTACCGAGCTTTGCCCCAGTTACGTATGTCCCGAAAATGGACAAACCTATAAAATGTAGATATTTCATAAATACAGCAAGAGATTTAATCTGATTTATTTTGGATAACATACACTTGAGTGATGTAATTCTGATTTTTACAACTGAAATAAGTGAATGCAAAAAGAAAAAACAACTTTAAAAAATGTGAAACAAAGATTTAAAATGCCACAAGGGTTCTGGTATGGTAACAATGAACAATGGTACATTTTTTTTACATGTTTGACTGTTTGTTTTTACATTTAAAGGCAGCCAGCCAGCTTTGCTTGAGCAGCCTGTCTTTGAAATCACGCGTCTTCTTTCATGTGCACATCTTGCAAAGCTGCATTCAMGGCCACGCACATTATTTCATTTCCCACCGCTCGTCTTTGTCTGTTCTGTGCCCACCTTTGTGTCGAAGAAGGGGTTCCTAGATCCAAACTTTGCACCATCAGTGCATTAAATAATCCTTGTAAAACAGAGCTATTAGACCCAACTGCTCATTCTTTCATTGATGTTCCATCTTATAAATCTCTGCTGCAGCACATCATGCTATGCTTTCACAGAATAGCATCCTCTTTAGTGCGTGGTCAAGTTTTACAAGGGCAGCTTCAGAGTAATCGGACATCTGGAACAGCAGGCAACTTTATAGACTCATTATCCATATTATAYAGTCAACATATGTACACAATAAAACATGACCCCATGTGTTGAAAGCATCGCTGTGAAGGAAGAGGAGATGCAGGTGACTGAGGGTTTTTGTTCTTGTTTCTCTGTACTGATCGTAAATAAAAACGGCAAAATGTCTTGTTCGTTCTCTTTGTGTTTTTGTTGTGAATGATGTTTCTTCTTCTCTCGTCGACAACGCAGGAAGTCTGCAGTGAACTTTGGTGCATGAGCAAGAGCAACCGCTGCATCACCACCAGCATCCCCGCTGCGGAGGGAACCATCTGTCAGACCAACACCATAGAGAAAGGGGTGAGTACTTTTAAGTTTACAGCATCAAAAATTGTATGGGGCACCAAGTGTAAAATTACATTTAGAAAAATGTCACCAACACGTTTTCATTATTTAGCTCACTTTATCACTTTAATCCTGGTTCAAAAAAAATCCACTAACACTGTATTTTATTATTATTTAGCTCACTGTTCTTACAATTTGTTAATATTTAGTAAATGATGAATATAAATGTAAAATGTTAGGTGTAAATATTAAATCCTAAATCTAAATGTGTAAACCTAAATGTAAAAGACAAATCTTTAATTTTGCAGCTAAATGATAAAGCTTACATTTAAGAATTTTGGAATGAAACACAGCTTTTGCCATTGGTGCTCGGCTCTTGTTGTGATGTCATCATCCTGAGACAAATGTTAATGCAGCTAAAGCAGCTAATGCAGCTAATGCAGCTAAAGATTGCATTTYAAATTTAAATTCAAAATGTCTTCATTCAAAACAATTTGGATGGGACCTGTGGTCAGGCAGTTTGAAGCGCAGCTCGGACACCGGCCGCAGCTGCGAGTTTGATGTCTTGAAGGGAAGCATTAGCAGCGTTAGCAGTGTTAGCAGCAGTAGCAGCAGTAGCAGAGTTAGCGGTGTTAGCAGC